GGGGGGGGGGGGGGGGGGGGGGGGTTAGGAAAGTGACCCTCGGAGTTGCAACGGTCCTGGGAATGACTAGCCAGGCTTGCAGGCGGCTGCCCTCCGCCCCCTCCGAGAGAAAGGCGCTCGGGCCGCCTCCCCCGCCAAGGTGGGCTCCGAGGCCCCCTCCTGCCCGAGAGAGCCGAGCCACCACCGTCGGAGAAGCCCCGGGAGAGGCCAGGCAGGAGCCGGGGCCGGCGAGAGGCGGGCGGCCAAGCGCTTGCGGGGCCCGGCGCCACCCAGCTCTGCAGCCCCCTCCTCCTCCTCCTCCTCCTCCTCTCGCCGTGCAGGGGTCGTCTTCCACTACCGGGGAGGCTCCTCCCGCTACGCCTACACCTTTCCCCAGGCTCAGGCGGCCTGCGCCCGGATCGGGGCGGCCATCGCCACCCCGGAGCAGCTCCACGCCGCCTACCGCAGCGGCTACGAGCAGTGCGACGCCGGCTGGCTCGCCGACCAGACCGTCAGGTAAGGGGGCGCGGCCGGAGCGGGGGTCGGGGGGGTGTCGGGGAACCAGGCCCGGGAAGGCACCGGCCCGGAAGCCCGTGGACCGAGGCGGAGGGCTGCCGTTCCTCTGGTTCGTTGCCGGGTTCGTTGGGGAAGTAAAAGGCACCTTGACCTCTGCACCGCCGGTATTGGCGTCAATTTTCTTTTAACGCAAAAACGTTTTGACAATCCCGCAGCGAAGGCGCCTTTCCTGGGATAAGCTGCAGCGCTGTAATTCCCTAAGAATTATCTTGTCCGGAGAGAAATATTCAGCGTGGCAGCTTGAAGCCTTTGTACTTTTGAGATTTATGTGTTTGCGTTTTTATTTCGGTTTTTCTTAGTCGTCTTCCTTAAAAGTTTTGTCTTCAGTTCTTAATTCTCTGGTTAGGCTTAGTATCCATGCTTAGGGAAAAAAAAAAAACCCTCTCTATTCTTCACCTAGAAGCCCATTTCAATGTATGCCTGGAGGAAAAAAACCGGGGCCCAAGTATTACTGCATACCGGCCTAGAACTACTTTGGCAAAATAAATACTTTAGATTTCACTGTTACAAAGATACACTCACCTCTTAACATAGACCAGCAAAACAGACCCGTTTCTAGTTTGCTGAATTGAATTATTTGCATGGTAATAAATGTACTTTATAGATTTTCTCCTCAGTCTCTTTTTTTTCTTCAAACAGACACTGTCTCTCTCTCTGGGGTGGGGAAATTGCAGAGTTCCTATATAATTGGGCAGGTTGAAGATGGGGGAAGCAGGTATGGAGGCCTCTGGCCGCGCGGCTCCTCTTGCCCAAGGCAGGAAGAGAAGCCCACCAGAGTTGAATTGTTCCACTTCCATTTGCCATTTTCTCTCACAAGCTGGCCGGTTCCGCTCCTGTTTATTTCCATTTCACATTCTTGGGTTCTTTCCCACCCTGACCGCAGGCAGCCAGACCTGACTTGCCTTCTCGTGTAATCACACTATGATCACCTCTAGGTACCCTATCCATACTCCTCGCGAAGCCTGCTATGGAGACATGAACGGCTTTCCGGGAATCCGCAATTATGGCATAGTTGACCCAGGTGACATGTACGACGTCTACTGCTACGCGGAAGAACTTTATGGTCAGTTCTGTGGCCCTTTTGTGGGCTGTGGGCTATACTTTGAAAAAATATCTTCTTTGGAAATCAGATTGACTGTAGAATAGACACATTATACAAGAAACACCCTGTTGCCTCCCACCAGGAAATTCCATTTTTCTGATTTTTTTTTAAAGCCAAACTGATTCCAAAGAACGCCCGGTGTGGTCGGTATTCGAATAAATAAAATATGTTGGTGTTTTTCTCTTTTATGAGCCGCTGCAATTTCTGCCTTCAGGGGACCTGTTTGTGGAAAGTTCTCCAGGGAAATTCACCTGGGAGGAGGCCCAAGCGGCCTGTGAAAAACTCGGGCTGGAAATGGCCACGACAGGCCAGCTCTATGCAGCCTGGAACCAAGGGCTGGACCACTGCAACCCAGGCTGGCTGGCCGACGGCAGTGTGCGCTACCCAATTGTGACGCCCCGCGAGAAGTGCGGAGGGAACATGCCGGGAGTCAAAACCCTCTTCGCCTTCCGCAACCAGACGGGATTCCCAGACCCCCAGAGCAAGTTCGACGTGTTCTGCTTCCGAGGTGAGCAGGGATCTTCCTGGTGGGGGTTCAGGGCTCCACTGAGCAGCTTTCGCCTTCATTTGCCTCCTGCCAGGAAAAAGAGGAGGAGGAAGGTTTAGCTGCCTGGGCTCTTAGGAGCAGCTGCGTTTCTTGCAGTGCCGTCAGTCCTTTTCCTCAGGATCTTTCTGGGAAAAAGTTGCAGTACAAATGCACACAACCGGCCAGGCTTCTGAGCGGCCAAGAGAAGCTCAGTGAGTGGAGCTGGAGGCCAGGAAGGGGCTTGTTCACCCTCCTCCCAGCCAGGACATGATGTGCCGCTGTTGAATGGCCCTTATGAGCCAAGGCCTTCCAGAGCCAGCAGGCGCCTCCCTGTCCTCCCCTCGAAAGGCTCCGATATCCTCCGCTGGATAGGATGGGTGGCTCAGGACACGGGCTGTGCATTCCACTTGCGGGCCTAGTGGTCATCTTCACCACATCTGGCCAGGGGTGGCCTTCAAAGATGTCAGCAATGGGTTCTCTGCCCAGTTGCTGGGGTGGTGGGCATGGCCTAGCTGGGGTGGGGGGGCATTTTCACCTTCCCCAGGGTCTGGAGGCTTTCCTCAAGCCTCGGGGAGGATGGGAAGGGCCTTCCCTGGGCTCTGGAGGCCCCCCGGAGACTGGGGACAGGCCAGTTTCCAGCCTTCCAGGGCCTCGGTTTCCGGCCTCCGCGTGGGCCCTGCACTTGCATCCAAAACGGGGCCGCGTGGAGACTCCTGGGAGGGGTAGGAGGGGCCAGCCAGGGATGGGATTTGGTGGTTCTCCAACCAGAAGCTGGGCGAACCTGTAGCAGCTCACCCCTGCGCCCGGCAGAAGAGACCCACTTGGCAGTGGGCGGCCCTGGTTCCCTCCGGTGGCCAGGCCAGCCACGGCTTCCCACAAGTAACATCTGGGGGGGAGGACCAGCTGCCTGGAAGCCCCTTGGTAGCCCAGCCCTCCCGGCTCTCTTACCTTTGACATCCCGGGAGGGACACGAGTGGGAGGGGGCCCCCAAAAGGGCCGGGGCTCCCCTCCTTCTTGCTCCTCCTCCTCCCAAAGGTCACTGGAGGCCAGAGCCAGCTCTTGCGTTTCTCGACAGGTTGTGGTTGTGGACGAGGACAGATTCCCCATCAAGCGACCACACCGGCTGCCGGCCCGCCTGCCCAGATCGCTCTTCCGGGTCCAGTAACGCCTGCTTCTCTTCCTGCTGCAGGGCAGACCAGCCCCTCCCGGGAACCGCCCCTCCCGGAGGCCGAGAGAAGCAGCCAGGAGATCACAACGGTGACCCAGGAGATGGAGGAACTGCAGCTGTTGGAGGGAGAGCCGGAGGGGGCCAAGGAGTCCAGGGGGGCCATTTACTCTGTGCCCCTCTTCCAGGACCCCCTTGGGGTGCCAGAGGAGCCAAGCGAAGCCTCGGAGGAGGCGGCCACCGCAGAGCCCGTGGAGGCTGGCCCAGGCGGTTGTGACGGGCGGAGCGGAGAAGAGGGGGAGGAAGGAGGCGGCAGCTGTGCCAGGCAACATGGGCCTGGTAGGTGGGGGGGGGAGGGCGGGGAGGGGGGGCATCTTAAAAAAAAATACTTAAAGATGAGTTAAAAGGTAACACAAACTGAAATCAGGAAACAAAAGGAGGCAGGAAAAAAAAAAGGATATTTAAAGGAGCAACTCCCAATACTCTTTGCAACAAATACTGGCAAATGAATAAGACCCCGCCCCTAATGGAATTAATTACGTACACGATTCATTTCTTCCCAGAACCCTCCCCCCCCCCTTGGCCATTCACAAATCCAAAAATCCTCATTTTTGTTCAGATCTCAGCAAAAAGTCTATAAAGGGTTTCCAGAACTTTATTTATTCTTTTCCTTACTATATCTTAGGTCAAACAAGTCAACTTTATATTCTTTCTTTTGCTTCTGACAATGTTCGTCTTTGATTCACGAAGTTACTGTAGTAGGATGGAATTTCCATTCCCATTTACTTTCTTCCCTCTCAAATATTTCTTGGGGTTTTAAAAACACGCCTTTGTAAGTCCCAAAAGAAGTCCCAGCCCAGGTCTTTCTTCCTCTCTTGGTTTGTCGTTCGTATTTCTACCCTGATAGTCTTCGCTATTTTGTAATCCTCAATTTCTTTACGTTCCCGTATTTCCCGATCAGTTACAGTTTGTATCCTCTCTTCATCCTGTCTATCCATAAATTCTTCCGTATTGTTGTCTAACATTTTTTCATTTCTTCTCTTTATAATTTTTTTTTTTTCAAAAATACATTTACAGGTGCAGAAGTTATCGCTGCTAAATTTGTTATAAGTTTCTCTCCCGATTCTTCAAAAATTCTTTGAAATGCCTCAAGAGCCATTCCCTTGTTTGCCATGTTGTAGATTTCACTTTCTTTCTACCGCCTGGAACTTTGTGGCCGATTTCTATGCAAGTGGTCCTTCATTTTTTATTTTATTTTATTTTATTTGGTTTGTCAATTGCTTACAAGATAATAGGTAGAAGTAAAAACATAGTTACGAATAAGAAACAATAGGACAAGGAGGGTGGGCACGTTGGTGCACTTATGCACACCCCCTACAGACTTCTTAGGAAAGGAGTGAGGTCAATTAGTAGACAGTCTTACCAACCATTTATTCAGTGACCACTCCAAGTTGCAATGGTGCTGAAAAAATAACCTCATACCAATTTACAACCATTTATGACCTTTGCCGCATTCTTCAGCCACATGATCTCCATTGCAGTCAGTACATTGAATTCTGCCTAACCTGTGAATGTTTCTTTCTTTCTTCCCTTTCCGAGAAGAGAGATTGGAGAAAGGGATTGCAAGAGAGTAAGCTGTGTGCTCTTCTACGACTTGAAAGCGACGGGACTGTGCCAGCAGCCCCGAGCTGAGAGCCGTGGAGATGCCACACAATCCGCTTATAGCACTGAGATCTATTTTTCTCCAATCCCTCCGTTCTGTGGGGGCAGAGGGGAAGCAAGCAATTTTTGTGGGTTTTAGGATCACCTCCTTTGCCTCTGTTTCCTGTCGAACCATCCTTGGATGTAGCCCTTTCAGTTTTCTCCAAAATCAAAACAATCCACAGCTTCCACCCGAAGGTTCATGTCGGCATGTGGGAATACCGATAGTCCGGGTATATAGACTATGATCGGAGGGAGGCCTTCTTTAGCCAGAAAAGAGAGGCGAGGGGGACAGAACTGCCCTTCATGGGACAATTGGCCACAGTCCCCTCCCCCAGTTGCCTCCTCCTGGCCCAGCTGAGCCCCCTCTCTCCGGCCAGCTCACGTTGCACGTTTCCTGAGCACTCGTGTGTTTTGGGGAGCAGAGCGAGGAAGCCTAACCAGGCACCCACCCAGGCAGTGGGGAAGCCACCCTGTTCACAGGCTGTGGGCTGGCAAGGGGGCAGAGGAGCATGGCTGCGTCTTCCCCCCCCCCCCCCCGGATCCCACGCCTGTTCCTGGAGTTCTTTGCCACACACAGCCTCTTCCACCACCAACACACACACACACACACACACCGGTTGTTAACCAGAAAGGGCCAAACTTTTCAGCACAGGGCAATGCCTGATGGGGCACGGGGTGTATTTGGGTGTGTGTGTGCCTGTGTGTGAAAAGAGACTCATGGTCCTTGACCGAGCAACTCCACACCCACCAGATTCCTCTAATTTGCCTGGATATCGGAGAGCAGATTGATAGGAACTGCCGATTAATATCTGGCAGTTGATGTTGGATGAATTAATTGCAAATTGATTAGAATTTGGCCCAAGAGGCACGGACGTTTGACCCTGCCCACCTGTACAAAGACGGAGGCCCCAGAAGCTGCGTCTTGTTGCGGGAAACGAAGCTGTGCTGCCCGTTTGCTTTGTGGATGCGGGGGGGTGGGGTGGGGTGGGCGCTGCTTCTCTCCCTCACCCGTTTCCTTTGGCTTTTCAGTGCGAGAGATGGTGGAGGCCAGGGCGGAGGAGGTGCCCAGCACCCAGGAGGCCCAGCCCCTGGACCAAGGGCCGCAGAGGGAGGAAGGCGAGCCAGAGATCGTGGAGGCAGCTCCCCAGGAAGGGGAGCCTGCGGATGGAGAGGCAGTGGGGATCCAGCCCAGGGAGGAGAAGGAGGCCCACACTGTCCACAGCCCTGTAGAGCCCTCACCTTCCGAGGCTGCAGCCGGCTTCTCCGACAGCCCAGGGAGCGGAGTCCACGGAGGTCCCTCTGTGCCTCCCTCAGAGGCCGCCTCGGAAAGGAGCCACGGTGCCAGCCACACTTCCAGTCCCCCCACGGAAGCTGGCGCAGGAACATCTCCGGCCGGGCGAGTCGAAAGCAGCCCCGTTTCTGGGCCTCCCCGAGAGGCAGGAGCAGAGCCTCCAGGGATGGCCGCTTTCCCAGGGACCCCCTGGGTCCCCCTGCTGCTCCCATCCCTGAGCACGACGCCAGCCGGCTCGTCTGAAGAGAGCGGGGACCACTCGGGCGCCTCCTGGCCCCCACCAGCCGGGGTCTCCGGTCCTCCGGATGAGGGCGAGGCTGCCTCGGAGGCCTCTGCTGGCTTCGGAGGGGAGCCTGAGCCAACCAAGGAGGAGCTGCGGGCTGAAGCATCGGAGGAGGAGCAGCAGGAGCCAGCTCTGAGGACAGCGGTGCCAGCGGTGGACGAAGAAGGGCCCCCAGGACCCCAGGAGGCTCTCCCCACCGGAGGCTCTCTGGGCTTGGACTTCTTCAGCACCCCATTCCTGGAGGTCTCCTTGACTACTACCCACTCTCGGCCCGTTCCGCCCACTGAAAGGGCCAGCCTGGGAGCATCTGGCAGCGTGTCAGGTAACCCTTTGGGCTCCCTAGCCTTGGCATCCTTGGCCACTCTTTTGGCTGTCCTGCCACACTGAGCCCGCCTCTCTTTTCAGGCTGCACTTTCCTGTGTCTCTCCTCCTCCCCCTCCTCCTCTTCCTCTTCCTCCCTGCTCACTTCCAGGACTGGGGAAGGCAAAGGAGCCAGAGAAGCACAAGTGTTGCCCACAGACACAACCCCCCCCCACAGAGCGCCTGCTCTAAGTCTCTCCTACTTCTATGAAGTGTTTTAACCAGGGTCTCCGTGAAAAAACGGGCCAGGAAGGAGACTAATTTGAACGAGAAAGAAGACATTAAAAGCTTTCTAGAAGAAAAGTGTCTGGGTGTCTGTAACTGTCTCTGTCTTTCTTTACTTCTTTCCCTCCTGTTCTTTCTTCTTTCCTGCATTAACGAGCTTTCCCTTCTGAGTTCGGGGAATCGCTGGAGCCCCATTAGAGCTAAAAGGGACCCCGAGGTCATCAGGCTCAGCACTGGGATCCAAAATAACTTCTCTATCAAACGGAGGAAGAAACAGTGGCCAGGGTTCGAAATCCGGTGGGGGAGGGGAGGGCAGAAGAAGGTGTGGGGAGGCCTGCAGGGTCCCCTGGGGATCTGGGAAAGGGCCCCCAACTTCCCCTTGGTGTGGCTGGGGAGATCACTGCACTGCTCAGAAGATCTCTAGTTGGGCAGACATTTGTCACTTCCACCGAGAGGGTGAAATAGCCTTGGAAGGTAGCAGCAGGAGGCCAGAAAAGCAGCGGTTCCAAATCGGGTCCTTAAGAAGTGTTTTGTTTTGTGACCAAAAGAGGCGAAATGTGGAGAGAAATTGGGGGAGTTTCGGAGGCTGAAAATGTTTTCAGATCCCAGGGCAGGATCCGAAGGCAGGAGAAGCCCTCCCGGTCCCTGCCATCCATGCAGGCCCTGTTGCCTGGCATCGCTTTCTCTCTCTCTCTCTCTCTCTCTCTCTCTCTCTCTCTCTCTCTCTCTCTCTCTCTCTCTCTGGCCAAACGAGTGCAGCACCAGCCATGGGAAATGGGTTGTCCATTTTTTGATTTAGCTACCTTTTTATCTTGCCTCTTTTCCAAGGCAACTAGGAAACGGGGTGTCTCCGTAGCCCAAGAAGCCACTCGGCTTGATGGCAGAGCAGAGATGGAAGGCCTGGCCCCGGCTGCCCTCCCTCCACCCCTTTCCATGCTGCCCCCAGCCCAACATTAGAAGGATGGGCTCCTCCTCAAGAACAGACTGTATTCTCCATCAGCCTGTGCCATGCCAAAGTCAACAGGCAGGGATGCCTGTATTATCCCTCCCTCCCTCCCTCCCTTCCTTCCTTCCTTCCTTCCTTCCTTCCTTCCTTCCTTCCTTCCTTCCTTCCTTCCTTCCTTCCTCCTTCCTTCCTTCCTTCCTTCCCACTCAAATTTCAGAATGCTTGGCAAGTAAACACAAGAGAAATTGGCCGATGAGAGAAAGACGGAGCCGTTGCATCGGGCCACCCCTTTGCCAACTAGAGGAGTCTGGAAAACCACACAGTGCGGTTTGCACATGAGAAATTTAGGGTGGTGGGACCAGCAGCAGAGCTGTGCCCAGGGGGGCCGCCCCGCAGCAGTGACACAGATTAAAGCGGCTCCACCGCGAATCCCCCGGCCTGCAGTAAACTAGAGGAATAACTTTGTGGGTAGGGCAATCTTCCGCCCGTGTTTTCGTTTTTCCGGAGGTCCGGTTTTGTTGAATTAATCCCACCCCCCCTTTTCATTCTGCGTTTGCTTTTCTTCTAGTGAGCCAAAGGGATGACAACGTCCTTGGGTTGCCTTACGAGGCAGGCTCAGCTGAGGTGTGCAAGGCCCTTTAGGTCACTGGATCCGGCCTGACGCGGCTGCCGGCCCCGCTTGACAGCCCGACGCTGGCAGAACCAGCGTCAGGGCAGCCAGTGGGGAGCTGGAGCCGCTGGGCCTTTTGCATTTCTTGGACTGTGACCAGCTCCAGCTCCAAGACTTGGTCTGAGGCTGTTTGTCCCTTTCAGCCCCTCCCCGTGAGGGTGCTTGTTCTGGGGAGACGGGGTCACCTGGGAGGGACGGGGGGGGCAGGGAGAGGGGGAAATGGAATAAAATCCTCTGAGAGATGAAAGGCAGGCGTTTCTGCACAGGCACCCGTGGAACCGCCTAACACTGCCCAACAGGGGTGTTGACCTGCCACACACCTTTCAAGGGGTGACCAGCCCAGCCCTCCACCCGCGTATCCCAGGCTGAGGCATTCAGCATTTTTGCAGCGTTCTCCCCCCGCCCCTTTCCCTCCTCAGCCTCTTGCTGAGTTTCCTGCCTCTCCTTGCTGACTGGGGAGCAGACAGAGGCGAGGGAGGGGTGGGGGGGTGAAGTCTGCAAAAGGAAGCAAACAGCCCCCACAGAGCCTGGCTGGAGACACCTGGGCTGGAGCTGATCAAGGTGAGTCCCCTTGAGGCAGCCAGGGTGCTGTTGCTCTCCCTCCCCAGCAACTGGGACCTCCCGGGAACTAACTTCTTCCTCCTTGGCTCCTCTTGGCTAATCAGTTGCAATTGGTTGGCAAACTGGCTTTCCATTTCACCTGTCAGAAAAACACTCCAGGTAACACAGCTGCATTTGCACCACGCATCTGCACAGGATCCACTGCCATCCCCCCAGTCTCGGCGGTCAGGTGGGAAGGTGGCTCAGCTTTCCTTTTGCCTTCGATACGTTGTGGCTTAAAGGGTTGCAGGAACCCCTGATTGGTGGTTCCGCTCAATTGCTCGAGCTCAGAAAAGGTGTCCCTTCAGGAACCAGCCGGCTAAGCCTCTCGCTTGAACACGGACGGCCATCACACAGAAATGGGACTTGCTTTGTCTCAGGGGTCTCCAACCTTGGCAACTTGTGGACTTCAACTCCCAGAGTTCCTCAGCCAATGCTGGGAGTTGAAGTCCGGAAGTCTTAAAGTGGCCAAGGTTGGAGACCCCCCCCGCTTTATCAGATACCTGGATATTTCACAGCCCATCGTGCCTCGGTGTAGAAGTGTGGGGATCGTGTGAACTCAGCCATCTTAGAGTCATCCTATCTGGACTGTTTCTCTGCCCCTTTGGATCCCCTCCTGATACGCCGCTTGTCCCCCTTCCGGCCCAGTGCGTCCAAACGGTCTCACTGGGATTGAGCTTCACCTGCTGGGCAAAGGGAGGGGGCAAAGCCACCTGCGGTGACCCCCCTCCCTCGCCCATCTGCTTTCAGACACCTGCATGCCAAACCCCTGCAGGAACGGAGGGACTTGCACAGAAGAAAGGGGGCGCCCAGGCTGCCTCTGCCTCCCGGGATACGGAGGGGACGCCTGCGACGTCAGTGAGTAAACGGGGCCCTGAGAGGGCCAGAGCCACAGGGCAGCTGGCCAGGAGGTGGAGGGACTGGGCTGGTCTTGGGGCCGAGTAGCAGCCGATGCCCCTAAGTGAACCAGAGGGGAGGGGAGACGTCCAGAAAGGAAGCCCCCAGAAAGGGGGAGGGGGATCGCGTCACAGACCACCCAACGGCAGCAACTTCTTGTTTTCCCCTCCCAGCCGCCCTCCCTGGGGGTGCGGTGCAAGAGGGGCCTCCCGTGCGATTCTAGGCCCTGTTCATGGCAACCCCGGCTGGCCGTTCCTCCTCCTCTCCAGACCAACGTCCTTCCACCGACATCGGAGGCCTCCGGACTCATCCTGGCTTCTCTTTCTCTCTCCAGGCCTGAGGAAGTGCCAGCCCGGCTGGGATGCCTTCCAAGGATTCTGCTACAAGCACTTTTCTGCCCGGAGGAGCTGGGAAGATGCCGAGACGCGGTGCAGGGAGCACGGGGGGCACTTGGCCAACATCCTGTCTCCGGAGGAGCACAGCTTCCTCAGCAGTAGGGGGCTTGGATCAGTTGGGAGCTTCAGGGCTGGTGGGGATTGTCCGGCTCTCGGGGCTGCCTGAGCGAACCTGTTCTGTCCCAGTCAGTCTATGGGAATTGGGTAGTTACTTAGGAATTATGAGCTGTCCCTTTAAGGGAAGGCATCATGGTAAATGTAGTTAAAGGTATCCTGGGAAATGTAGTTCATGTCACATCTGTAATCCTGATTAGTCACTGAATTGACCCTCGAGGGGTTGGGGGACTTTTCCTCATTCTTGCCTGAACTCACGAACTCACGGCAGCTTCTTTCTATCGCTACGAGATGGATCAGGAGATCACCATCTTTTACTTTTCTGTATCTTGTTCAGAGTTGGATTTATAAGCTGGGCAGATGCAGATAGATAAACTCAACAAGACGTCCATAACAAAGTACATTTATTGGTTCGTCAGGTATCCTCATAACTCACATTTGTGACGAAGGTCTTCTTTGATGACCAATCCTTTGCATATCTGCCTTGTAGTAAAAGATGGTGATCGCCTAACCCATCTCGTAGCGATAGAAAGCAGCTGCCATGAGTTCGTGAGTTCAGGCAAGAATGGGGAAAACTTCCCCAACCCTTCGAGGGTCAATTTAGTGACCAATCAGGATTACAGATGTGGTCACATGGACTACATTTCCCAGGATACCTTAACTACATTTACCATGATGCCTTCCTTTAAGGGGACAGCTCACAATTCCTAAGTAACTATCCAATTCCCCTAGACTGGCTGGGAGAGCACAGAACCTGTGCCAGCAGCCCTTGCTGGGCCCTGGGTTCTTCCTCCGCACCTTCCTGGCCTGTGCAGTGGGAAAGGGTGGGGGGATCCAGGGGTCCCCAGGAGGGATGCCAGCGCCCTCCCCTTGTCCGGGGCCAGAGCCAGGGGGGTGAAGGACGCTTCCCCCATTGCTGAGGGCTCCCTTCCTCCCTTTCCAGGTCAGTACAGAGAATACCAGTGGATTGGCCTGAATGACCGCACGATAGAAGGGGACTTCCAGTGGTCTGACGGGAGCCCTCTGGTAAGTGCCGCTCGGAAAGGCCTCGAACTCTGGAAAGGGGACCACTCTGTGGAACTCGGTCCTGCCAAAGAAGCACCTGCAGCATCTGGGAGCCCTCGGAAAGGAGGGGAATCCCGTGGGAGGGGTGTCTCCCAAGTGGGAGGGGCTGGGGTGCCTCCGCAACTGGTACGGTCTTAACCCCCGGAGGAGGTTTCTGCCTGTGGTGTCCCATCCCAAGCGGGCTCCTTATTATCCTCCGTGTTGACTAGCAGACCGAGCCAAAAGGCCGGCTCCTCATAACAGCCCTGCCCTGCCCACGGACGCTGCCTGTCCTTTCCAGGCCACTCGGGGCAGAAAGCTGCAGGGTTTAAGGAAAATGGCTTCCCCCCACAGGGGATGAGGTCCCAGGGCGGTGCAGCCCAGGGAAAGTCCCTCCCTCCCTCCCTCCCTCCCTGCGTGAGCTGAGTGTCCTGCCCTCGCCCCTTTGCCAGCCTTGCCCGCAGGAGCAGCCCAGACCTGAGTGTTGACCTCTCTCTCTCTCTCTCTTTCCCTGCCTGCTCTGGAAGCTGTACGAGAACTGGCAGGACGGGCAGCCTGACAGCCACTTTCTCTACGGAGAGAACTGCGTCGGCCTGTCCGGGCAAAAGGATGGGAAGTGGAGCGACCTGCCCTGTGGCTACCATCTGCCCTTCACCTGCAAGATGGGGCTGAGTGAGTATCCGAGGGGAGGAAGCCCCCTCCCCAAGGCCAGACCCCTTTGAAAGACTTCAGCTAAAGGCAAAGAATTCGGGCCGGGCACCTAAGCTCACCTTTTGCCACAGGCCGGAAGAGGCTTTGGGGGTGGGGGGTGAACCTACCTTGCTTGCTTGGCACGGAGGATCCTGCTTGGGGGTCCCTGATCCAGACACTAGGCTCAGCCAAGAGGGTTGACCCCTGGCCCACCCTTTGGGCGTCGGAAGAGTGGGACGATGTTTGCCTGGACAGAAGCCCAGGGTCTCCTGCGTGTGGCAAAGGGGTCCTTCAGCTACGCTGGGCCTTGTCGTCCCCCCCCTACGGCTGAGCCTGCTTTGGACACTGTTCAGGGCAATTGGGCACTTCTGGCCCGATGCCAGCCTCCCCTCCAGCTGCCCCCAAAGACACCCTGCTAGGCATTCCCCCTCACCCCCCCACCAGCTGTTGGGCAGGGGACCCAACTGACCCTTGGACTTTCCTCCCAGTCTCTTGCAGCTCCCCCCCCCAAAGTGGCCGATGCGCAGATCTTTGGCCGACCAAAGCAGCGTTACGAAGTCAACTCCGTCCTCCGGTACTGGTGCCCCGAAGGCTTCGTTCAGCACCGCTGGCCTCTCATTCGCTGCCAGGAGAACGGCCAGTGGCAGCGGCCACAATTTGCCTGCAGCCCCCCAGAGTCCTAGAGGCCAGCAGCCTCTGCCCGAGGGCCCTGGGAACTTTGGACAGCTGGGGGCATCTCTGGGGGGGGGGAGGGATGGAGCCTGGGGTGCCGGAGCAGGCTGGGCCAGGGGCGTCGGGGGAAGGGGCTCCCGAATGCCGAGACCCGTTGCCATGGGAACCAAGAGGTTCTAGAAGTACGAGGCGGGGGGGGGCTCCTTGGCAGCAGGGAGGGAGGGGAGAAAGGGGACCGTGTGTGTCAGGGGGGTGCTTTGCCCTCCTCTTCCGAATTCTCCCCCCAAAAACCACAGGACAAACTCAAAGAGGCTTCTAAGATTCATGATCTAGCACAGAGGGAGGAGAATGTGATGCCTTTTGCTCTTATTCATTTTTTTTTTTTTACATTATTATATGTGTACATATAAAGATAATCTAATAACTAAACGGTTCTTTTAACTTACCTTTTAAAGGGTGTCCTTCTTTCTCCCACCTCACTTGGGGGCTGCCCTGCTCCTCTTACAGCTAACTACTCCCAAGAGCTTTGTGCACACACAGACACACACACACACACACACGCCCCAAATAGGGCGAGTGGTGAGGAGCCTCCTGCTCCAGCTGCCCATCTGATGGGACCCTGTCCCTGGGATGCCTCCCACCCACCAAGCGGGGGGCTGGGGACTGGCTCAAAACAACGCCCCCCACCCCACGCAATCATGGCCCCTGAGGGGGGAATTCCCTCTTCGCCCTTTGCAATCCACGGGAACGCTTCCTGAATATACTTAGCTCAGGTATCAGACTGTAGCCCTCTACCCGTCTTGTGCTTATATTGTTGCATCACGGACAACTTATCCGCATTTGCAAACAGAATGTCCATAAAAAGTGTAATGCAGAGGACAAAATAACACATTATAATATTTCTATTATAACGTTTTTAATTAAATAATGTCAGTGAAACCAAGAAGTTCCCTATTTCAATGGAGAAATTGGAGCTGGTAACCTAGTTTGTTAAGGGCACTGAAGGATACGCGTTGCTCTGTATCGTTGCCTTGTCATTTTTTCCTTGGCAATGTCCAGGCAGCGTTTCTGATATTAAAAGATTTCAGTGTGGAAGAATAAAAGCAAAGGGGTGAACAATTTTACTACTAAGACCTCAAGGACTGCGGTCATTTCCCGGGAGATCAGAGGGGACGGAGGCGTTTACAAAGCCGTTCCCACGCTCTGTCCTCCGCCTGACAGGTGTTTGGTCAAAGCCACCATAGCCTGGACCATCGAGGCCGACTCTGACTCCAGGAGTGGATGGTGGGAAGTTTCAGATGAATTTTGACTCGAAAAGGACGGCATCCGTCGGCCTCCTTGGTCCTTCAGCTGTGGCCTCCTCCGCCTGGGGCTTTTGCTACTTCCCAGAGAAACAGTAGACCCCGTACTTCTTCCGGAGCTTGCTGGGGAAGCCAAAGCTGTGGACCGCGGGGTCCGGGAGCCCCCCACAGTGTGGGCGGGGAGCGGTGATGGGGAAGCGCACACTGCCGTCCTCCAGCCAGCCTCCGTTGCAGCGGTCTAGCTGGGAGAATCTCCAGGCCGCGTACAGCTGCCCAACCTTGGCCACGGTAGCGCCGTCGTTACGGCAGGCTTGCCTGCCCTCTTTGAAGTTGAAGTGGCCCCTGATGAAATAGACACGGCCTGGATGAGGGACGGGGGGGGGGGGCAAAAGAGAGGGTGACCACAAGAGAGCAAGATGACAGCTTCACAGCCCAGAACGGAGCCAGACTAGCAGTAATGGGGTGCGTCCCCACAAAAAAACCCACTGGGTGATGAAGCTACAAGGCCCGGATACCCAAATCCAGCTGCTGGGCAGTAAACATTCAACGAGACCTTCCACCACCACCCCAGCCCAGGGGTCCCCACACTTGGCAACTTCTAAGACTTCTGGAGTTCCATCATGGCTGGCTGGAGAATTCTGGGAGTTGAAGTCCACCAGTCTTAAAGTTACCAAGCTCGCAGACCTCTGACCTAGCAGGAAGGCGAGAGGCCGGGGACAGGCAAGAGGGAAGGGCCTGGCTTTACTCAGGTGGGATCATTTTAGCCATCTGATCTGGGGGCGATGCTCCATCTCTCACCTCAGGTAGGGCAGCCCTTCCCCATTCACAAGGGGCCACCAATTGGAGTCCCCGCCGCCACTCAAGGAGCAGGGGCCAGCCCCGGCCAGAAAGCCTTTGCACAGGTTCATCTGGTACATCGGGAGCCTTACGGGGCCCTGGTCATCTTGCGGCTTGACTCCTGCAACACGCCCTGCTGAGGGCTTCCCCTGAGGACCACCAGGAACCTTCAGCCAGTCCAGAACAAAGGGGTGGGGACCTGCCTCGCTATGCCCACCGGCATCTCTGCTTCACGAGCTGCACCCACTGCCCACTCATCCTCGGGGATGAGCCGGCCACAGCCAGCCTTCCAAGGAGAGGCCCGGGAAAGTGGCTTCTTCTGGGGGGCCCCCCGGAATGTGGGGAAACCACCTGGGCCTCAGCAACGGGCCTTCCCGGCGGGGTCCCTTGGCCTGCCTCCACCTACCCTGCACGCTTGACGTGAAGCAGAAGGCATCAAAACGGTCTCTCTGCTTGTCCTTGGGGCCATAGGTCCGTACTCCGGGCCGAAGGAGGAGGCCTCCGCAGGGCTTGCGGGAGTTGCGGATGGGGTAGTGCACGCCCCCCTCCATGACCCAGCCGGCATTGCACCAGTCCAGCCCTTCTGTCCATGCTAGGAGAGGAGCAGAGAAGGGGAGACAACCTTGGCTTCTTCCCTAAGATGCTTCGGACAGACATTTGGGCGGTGACGGTCGCCGTGGATTTACCTAATCGTTTGCCATTAGAGACACAGGAGCCGCAGAGAGACAGGAAGTTTAGCAAGAGGTTGAAAGGGTGCGGATTCCCAATTCCATTTGCCAGTCCTGGGATAAACAAGCCCAACCTCCCACCCAGCTCTCTGGAGAAAGAAACAAGGAATTGGTTGAAGATCTCCCGCCCCGTACGAGCATTCTTCATCTTCTGCCCCAGGTGCCCCTCTTCTGCTGGCTTGACCTTTTCTCAAGCCTGTCCATCCAGATCCATCCCTTCCCTTCCAGGACAGTAGCTGACCATGAACACAAGAGGCCACAGTATTGATGTACTGAAGAGAAGAGGAGAGAGAGGAGAGGAGAGAAGAGAAGACAGAGGAGAGGAGAAGAGGAGAGGAGAGGAGAGGAGAGGAAAGGAGAGGAGAGGAGAGGAGAGGAGAGGAGAGGAGAGGAGAGGAGAGAGCAAAAGAGAAGAGGAGAGAAGAGAAGAGAAGAGAAGAGAAGAGAGAAGAGAAGAGAAGAGAAGAGAAGAGAAGAGAAGAGAAGAGAAGAGAAGAGAAGAGAAGAAATATTGGAAGGAAGAGAAGAGGAGAGGAGAGGAGAGGAAGGGCGATGAAGGGAGGCTGGATTGAGTCCTTGACGTTCAACCAATGCCAACCTCCCCCCGGAGCCGCCCTTCATTCCTGAGAATTGCAGAGCATAGAAAGGAGGATGGAAACCAAAATAGCTGAAATGCCTGGGCGGGGTGGGGGTGGGGGTGGGGGTGGGGGGTGGGATCATGTTCATGGCCTGAGTGGCCTTGAGGACCAGAGGTCGGGCAGGGCTTGGCGTGGGGGAGAGAAGCCCACGGAGAGACCACCGAGCTGCCTCCCCCAGCTCAAGGGCAGAACCCAAGGACAGGAGGAGGAGGAGGAGGAGGCTGCCTGGGTTAAAGGGGCGTCAGGAGGCGGTGGGCTCCCCGTCGCTTTGGGGCTTGAGGGGCTGCAGGCCCTTCGGCTGGGATGCTGTAGGGGTAGTTTTCAGTAGTGGGCAGGAGGCTGGACTACATGATCTCCAAGGACCCTTACAACCGTTACTTGCCATGGTAATGATTCACTGAATTCCAAAACTTATGAATTAGGGTGGGGAGGTTCAGGCGCGCTTATCTTTGGCTCGGAAACCGGATCAATTATTTTTTACTGCCTTATCATCAGCCAGGTGACAACTCCGTGAGGAAACATACGTTCAAACTGCATCACCTTTGAGTTTTGCCTTGGAAGGGCTTTTGGGGGGAAGGGGGAGGGGAACTGACAGACGGACGATGCGCCATCAGGTTGGTGTTGACTCTCAGCCCCCCCACCTCCCCCCGCCCCCCATTAAACAGATTTTCTCTCTGTGGGAATAAAAGAAGAACAAAAACACCGCCTGGGTCTCCCATGCCTTCCCGCCCACAGCCCAAACTGGTTACCTTGGTAAAGCTGCTGGTAGGTGGCCAGCCGGGCATCTTGCGCTTGGCAGGCCGCCTTGGCCTCAAAGTAGTTGAACTGGTAGCGCCCCTGGCTGGTTTGGTAGGGGAAGACGACCCCTGGGGCAAAAGGGCAGGAAGTTGAGGGCCCGGCAGCGGAGAGAGGCTGGGCAGCCCACGCAGACACACGCGGCCCACCCTCCACGCCAAAGCCCAGGGCCGCCGTTCCCCGAAGAAGCCGATTGCAGGTGCTCCAGTTAAGCGTCTGCGGCCTGTCCGGTTTGCACCCACAGCGGCAGGGAACCTTGACCTGACCTGGACACCCTCTTCCCTCCCACTAGGTAGGGGGACGGCCCCACTTTCGGCCACCCGCCTTTCAGAGGAGGCTGCGCCCCAGACGGTCCCCCTGCTGGAGGGACGGGAGACGTGGCATCGTGGTCCCCCTCCTCCTGTCGCGGCCTCTGCCAAAAGGCACAAGGCTCCTTCCATCGGCTTCCCAGGGTAGATGAGGCCCAGGACTCTCCGCCTTGCCTGGGAGCCCCTCCTACCTTCCAGCTGCAAGACCAGAGAGATGCTTTCGTCCTCCAGGCCGTTGACAAGCTGGCAGCGATAGCGGCCCTCATCGTCCAAGGTCAGGTTGGAGACGGTCAGGGATGCATCATACCGGTGGCTACGTTTCAGGTGAGCCCGGCTGCCCAGGGGGCCATAGGTTTTGTGATGGACCCCATTGCTGATCAAGATGGCAACTTCCAGGTACTCCGCTGGCTCCACCTTACTCCACCGGATCTTGTAGTTTGGGGGCACGACCCACAGGATGCAAGGCAGGGTGACCGAAGCCCCCCGCCGGGCCTGCACGATCTTGTGGGTGGGCTCCAGCAAGTACTGCAAGGGGGCAGGAGTTGCTGTGCGAGGGGAAAAAAAAAACACGGGCACAAGACGCCGAGGCCAACAGCAGGGAGGGGAAGCTCTCCGCTTGCAAATCCACCCATCGAATTAAGCGGACGGGGCACAGACATCTGCATCTGCAGCCAACCCCCGGGCGACCCTGCGGAAACGGTCTTGGATGGGCTGCGGCAACACTGGAAGCCGGGATGGGCCTCGCCCACCCCAGGGGCAGCCGGGAGGGCACCAGCAACAGCCAGGGCGTTCTGGGGCAGGCACCCCCGGGAGAGGCTCGGTCAAGGACGGGCGTTCGTGGCCTACCTGGCAGAGTCCCACTTGGCCTCTGGTAGATGGCAGGGACTCCCGGAGCCGAAGAGAGACACAGGGACGCCAGGAGCAGCCAGAGAGGCATGCCTGGAGCAGCAGCCGGTGCCTGGCGGGCCTGCAAAAGGAGAGGTGGCCCGTCACCCCGGGGGCCACGGAGGCACAGCAGCGCCTCACCAGCAGGAAAGGGCCAAGCTGCCTCAGGCACCCCAAACTGACGGGGAGAAGGGCGGCCTTCCCGAACCCTCCAAGCCAGAGGGGCCTTCCACTGCCACAGACCCCCCCTCCCCTGTTTCCCACATACAGAAAACCAGCATGAGGAACAACCCACCCCCACCACCACCCCGGGAAAGACGGGGCTCCCTCTGCTGGGTGCCTTCTGGACGTCCCCTCGGGGGTGCCAGGTCTGCAGGGCTGGCAGAGCCAAACTCCGAGACCCAGCCAATTCTGGCGGCCATCAGATGCGCCTTTTGCGCCTGGGTCCACGCCCTGAACAGGCAGCCAGGCTCAAGGGCTGGGTTGCCACTGCCGACTCGGGGCCAAATGAGGACTGGAGGGCCCATTTTGTTCCACGCAGAGAATAACCGTAGCGGGGGCTCCCTTATCCAGCCATGTGCAGCAGCAGCAGCAGCAGCCAAAAACGCTGATACAGTCCTGGCGGGTGAAACAGAGGCATAGAATCAACATCATGCGAAGCCTCAGCACCACTTTAGAAACCCCCAGTAAGGCCACACCTGGAATCCTGCAACCAGTTTTGATCCCCAGACTACAAAAATGACGTCGAGACTCTGGAAAAAGTTCCGAGAAGAGCAACCAAGAGGATCGAAGGCCTGGAGACCAAAACGTATGAAGAACGGCGGCAGGATTTGGGTCTGGCCAGTCTAAAGGAAAGAAGAATTAGGGGGGAGGTGATAGCAGCCTTCCAGCATTTGAGGGGCTGCCACACAGAAGAGGGGGTGGAATTATTCAGCAGAGGGCAGGACAAGAGACAAGGGATGGAAACTCACCAAAGACAGGAGCAACCTGGATTTAAGGAGAAACCGCCTGACAGGGAGGACAATTCACCAGTGGAACTGCTTGCCACCAGAAACGGTGGGTGCTCCATCACCGGAGGCTTTTAAGCAGAGACTGGACAGTTGCCTGTTTGAGACAGTATAGGTTCTCCTGCTTGAGCAGGGGGCTGGACTGGAAGACCTCCAAGGTCCCTTCCAGCTCTATCCTATCCTATCCTTTGAGGGAGTTTGGGCTAGGAGAAGAAACCAGGGGATAAACATGAAGAGGACTCGGATGATCTGCAAACATGGGATCGAAACTCAACCGTCCGCGCCCACCGTAAAGTCCACCGTCACTTAGACTATCTGCCCTAGGAAAGAAACGCCCCTCAAATAAGCCCTTTGGTCAAAGAGGACTCTGTCAACCAACCGACCGAGGATTTCCTCGTTGACTGAGAACCATGATCCTCCCCGGCCCTAAAAGTGGAGCTTCTGAGTCGGTTCTGAGCCTTGGAAGAGTGAACACCAAGAAGAGCGGAGCTTGGTCAGCCGTTGCCCAGCTGCCCGTTTCTTGCCAGAATGCCAGCAAAAGGCGGAGACGATGGACCATGGCCCTGCGTTCGAGTCTCTGCCAGGCAGTTTTCATTCCATGCTGCCACCCCTTCTAGTCGGGTCAGCGCCCTTCTTCCCCTGTACAGGACCAGCGGAGCTTTTGGGGGGCTCATCATGCGCCGCAGACGAGGGTGAAACGGGAGCCAGAGGGCCCAAGGCTCACCCCTCCCCACTCCCAAGCATTTGCTGGGCTCTTCTCGGGCCGACCCTGTTTGTTCTCACCTCCACTCACACCATCTTCCTTTGGAAACAAAAATATGCCAGATAAATTCTGAACGCTTTTGCTTTGCTGCACTAACTCAAATTATTTTTATAAACGATTTTCTGAGCAACGGGCCGGGCCCTTGATAAGGCGGAGAGGATGAGCGCTTGGTTGCTGGTCTTTGTTTAAGGCTCTTCACGTTCATGTTTTACATCTATATGCCTTTGTCAGCCAACCAGAATCACTTTGGATAGCATATAAATGGCACAAACCAATCAATAAGAGCTGTACCTGGTGCGATTCATCGACAGATCCCCAGCCAGGACAGGAACCGGGCGTCGCTCTAAAGCGGCCCACCCATCACCTTCTTCGGAATCTGCCCAAATCCTCGTGCAGGAAGAGAGACCTGCGGGGGCCTCTGAGGAAGGCGCATGGGCCGCATCAGGACCAACCGGGGCTCCGTGGCCCAGAAGAGCAGGGTCCCCTCATCCGTCTGCTCTCGCTCGCCTTGCCACCCTCTGCCCCTTCGCTCTCTCTATGTGTGTGTGTGTGTGTGTTGTCACTTGCACCCCCAGCGCCACGGCTTGGTTCCAAGACTACACGAAAACAAAGGAGAGGAAACAGCTCCCCATTGTTTGGCCTGGCCAACAGGGCAACACCCGGCAAACAAGCCTGCCTTTATGGAAGAATAATTCAGACAAACCATCAACACCCTTCTGATGCTGGGTTGGGGACCTACAAGGACCGAGGACCAGTGCAGGGATGCTGAAAGCCCTAGAGAGTTTCCCATAATGCACCAGCTTCAGCCACTTCCAGCCCCCAGCTAGAGAAGCTGTTTGCCTCAAAGCCTCCGCATTCGGGCACCTGATGCCGCAGCCTCTGGCCCTTCTCCGTGGCCCAGGCCGGCTTGTGTCCACCACCTGGGTGTGAGGTTTCAAAACCAACCTCTGGGCCCTTCTCCTGTTCTCGCATTCAAGCCCCCTTTGGAGGTTTCCCTCTTCTCTGCCTTCCCTTTTGCAAACCAAACACCCCCTTGGAGCCCCCTTCCAAGGCTCACCGCCCATGATTTCTGTGCTCCTGGGGGGGCGGGTCTCCTCACGCCAGTTTCTCCCTGCCCCTGTTAAAGTGGGGTGCTTAAAAGGATGCGTGACTCCAAGGGTGATTTGAATCCCTGGCATCCAATGGAAGGTTCCTCTAATCATGTGGACCCAACTCCCCTCTTGGTGCAGCCGGAATTTCAGGCCTTTTCAAAATCTCCCTGTTTCGGTAGCCAGTTGCCAGGAGTTGCAAGCTGTGAGTGAGAAAGGAAAGTCAAGAACGTTCGTTTCTCAGGTCTCCAGAAAGCTTCTAAAATCTATCTGGAACTCAGCAATGGGTGGCTTCTCCGTGCAGGGAGATCCTCTTAGCCCCCAGCCCTCGGCCTCCTTGGCCAGATAACAGGAGGGGACCATCTGATCGGACTCCAGCCAAAGCCCGTCATAACCCAACATTTGGTTCCTAGCAGTGGCCAAGAAGACGCTCCTGGGCAACATCTGGCTGATCCACACAACCAGGCAGGGGCCATTGGAGATGCAGCCGTCTGTGGGAATGTCCTTGAGAGATAGGATGAGGGAGCCACAACCGGGCAATCTCAGCCGGGCATCTCAGTCCACAGGTGAATGGCGGTGGGGAGCGTCTCAGAAGGAAACACGCACACACACGTGCACACGTACGGTTCCCAAAAGCAAGCGGGGGAGAGAAGCTTTCGGCCTTGCAAGATTCAGTTACTGTATTTGAATCATCCAGCAAAGGTAGCGATAGCCTTTGTGGTTTGGTCCCTTGTCTGTGGAAGGGCTGGCAGTGCCCAGCAGGAGAAAGAGGGCTGGTGAAACAGTGCCCATCCAACGCAGGGCTCCAAATGCCCCTTCAGACCAGGCTGCATCCTCTGTGGCTGGAGTCCAGCAGGAAACGGAGCCAAATCCCTGGGCCTAAAGGCCTCCGCTCCCTTCACTGCTCCGGATCAGAAAAAGCCACAAGCGACAGCCAGGGAGTTGGTGGGTTAGGGTCCCTTGCAAAGGGGCCAAGGGGGGAAGGATGCCACCCCCTCTGTGTGGGGCCAGGAGACTCGGGCCATTGTTTCACAGTCCTGGCCGCATGTGACGAGGCACCAAAGCCCGGGACGCTTTGTTCTCTCCAGCGCAAACAAACCATTGTTTGTGTGAGAGTCCATCGCCTGCTGCTGTGCATCTGATGGGTTCCTGCTCTGCAAAAGGCAGCCTCATGGTCTCTGTAGTGACTGCCATGGGATGGGCCTCTCTTTCCTGCTCATTTTGGCTCAGGTTCGCCATGGGGAATACCTGGCTAAAAGATGGCTCGTCGTCCTGGACCAGAGGTCTCCAAACTTGGCCACTTTAAGGCTTGTGGACTTCAACTCCCAGAATTCTCCAGCCAGCAGGCTAGAGAATTCTGGGAGTTGAAGTCCACAAGTTGACAAGTCCTAAAGCGGCCAAGTTTGGGGGGGGCCTGCCCTGGACTTTCCAAGGACACTCGTGCCAACCCACTTGCCAGCTCTTTGCTCGTTCCCTTCCCGCTGGACCCTGCCCAGGTCAGGAGCCCTGGCGAAAGCCCCAGAACTTAGGAGCATTGGAAGAAGAACCAGGGGGTCTGAAGAAGCCACCCCTCCCCCATCGTGGGGGTTGTGGGACAGTCACACTCGGGGCAAGGGGTCCCAGTCGGCAAAGGCAGGGGTAGCTGAGGGGTGGCACCCTGGGGGCAGAAGGAAGACCCTCAGGCCCTCAGGCCCACTTCCGTTGAGCCTCCTCTTTTCTCAAGAATAGCCCAGTCCAGAAAGCAGCGGTTTCTTTTTGCGACGTCTTCCTGGGATGTCCTCTTCCTAAACTCTTAAACAGCACTTGGCCACTTAATGAGAAGCCGTTGTTCAACAGCCATGGGGGGTGGGGGGGCTGTTACCACTGAATTAACCTCCCCTTTTTCCTCTTCCGCCTGGGCTTCTTTCTCAGCTCAGCTGCACTGACGATCTTGAATCTGAGGAAAGTAGGGAAGAAGTTAAACTTTACGGACTCCTTTTAAATAGAATTTGATGTATGTAATTGTGATTGCAGTAAACACAGGTGGCATTTTCTCCCACCTTTTTACCTATACCTGGGTCTGTCACATGCCTTTCTTGGTTCTGTTCAACTCTCTGCCCTCAAATATGTGGTGTCAGCTGCCCCCAAGCAGAAATGGGGCCTGTTTTGTCAGCCTCTCCTCAACCGAGAAAAGGAGGTTCCTGGGCTTTGGAGGTGGCTTCTCCTCGGTTGTTTCCCCCTCCGGTGAGGAGGCAGGCCAGTCCTGCTGCTGGAAATGGAAGGACGTGACTGCGCCACCAAGTTGGAGAATCTCCGTCTTTTTGGTGCGGTTGGGATTCGTTCTGTTGTCGACACAGGACAGGTTTCTTAAAAGATACTTGGTGCTTTGTGCTTATCAACCGCTTGGACTGAAGAGCCAACACAATGAAATGGGACCTTCTTTTGCCCTGAGAAATTCTGGCTCCAAACTCTGGGAGGGGCCAGTTGACTGGGGGGGGGGGGGCAAAGATGGCGGTCCTGCAAACATTCAACAACCTCTGAAAGGCCCAGCAAAACTTCCCTTAATCGGCAGGAAGGGCAGCAGGTTGAAGCCAAGGTGGACGAAGTGCAATTATCAATACTGAGCCCTTGGCCTCCTCCCCCCTCCCCCCCCAAGGTGGCCTGAGTATCCCTGGACGCTAGGACTGCAGAGATGGCCCCCTCTGCCAGATCTCCCCCCCCCCAATCTCTGCCTGGACTCCCACATGAGGGGAACCCCTCTGGGGAGGGACGGGGCTTCTTCCATGCAGTGCATCCATTGGGCACAGCTTAGCCCTGCCACGCTCGGCCCAGGGCCCCAGGCTCGGAAGGGGGCAGGGAGAACCTGCTAGGGGCCTCAGGCAGGGCCTCCCAGGAGCAGAGCAGAGCCCACCACAAGGAGAGCTTGCGAGACCTTGAAACAACCTGTCCCAGATGAGGAGTAAAGATAAACAGACCCCGGCGGCAGGCTTAATGGTTAACCGAGTAACGCACTTCATCTGCTTGGATGCCCTTTGCTTCCCAATCGGGGGCAAAAGGCGGCACCGGCCTGCGGTGGGAGCAAGGAGAAAGGCTGTGGGGGGAGGCAGTGGTGAGGGAGCCAAGGGGGGCAGCGTCCCCAGCGCCCTCTCTGCCCCGCCAAGGGGCCACTCCCGGGGCCTGACCTGCTCAGCAAAGCAGGAAAGGCTGCTGGGGGCGTGAAGGAGCCCCACCGGTGGCAGTTGGAGCCCAAATCTGGGCTGGCTCTGGCTGCTTTTGCCCCCCCCCCTCAGAGGAGGAGGGGTGGGGGGACACCTTGGCTGCTGACCTGGCTGGCACTGCTGGAGATTGGCAGAGCCTCATTGGAGCAGCGCCTGCCCAGGTGGTGAAAACGGTGGTCTTGGGGGGGACCAGGACCCCCCCTGGCATCAGAAACGGAGGCATGGGGGCTGTTGTGGGTGGGGGGGGGCAGCGAAGGGAGGGCTCCTTGGCCGCCCCCCTCCTCTTCTTCCCAAGGGAAGCCTCCGTGGCTGTTTTCTCCCCGTGGGCAGGCTGGGGCTGGTTTTTGGGGAAAGGCTCCAGGCCTCCTCCTCCCTTGGCAGCCTCCTGCCTTGCCCCTCCCTGACAAACCCCAGGGGAGGGGTGCCGTGGGAGCCATTGGCACCATCCCGGTTGGGGAGGGGCCACCTTCCTTCAAGACCACTTGGGTTGAGAGCGGGGGCCCCCCCATCACACGCTCCTGGGATGCCAAGGTGAGCCTGCTTCCTTCGCCCTTTGGCAGACGGGAGGTCCCTCACCTGGCCGGGGCGCTCCAGTGACTCCCCCTCCCTGCCCGCCCGCCCGCCCCACACTCACCCAGCCAGCCCCGCCCCAGAGCAGGTGGCTCCCGGCCAGGCTGAGCAGTGAGCAAACAGCCCAGGAGGGTGCCTCCCCCTCTCCCCCTCCGGGAAAGCGGGACATTCGCTCGCTCTTCCTGCTGGCTCTCTTCCGCGCGGCTCTCCCACCATGTCAGGCCACGCCACCAACCTGAGGGTGAAGCTGCCCCTGCTCTGCGCTCTCCTGCAGCTGACCACGGTCCTCCTCTTCGCCTTTTTCGTCCAGTATGACAGCCAGACCAGCCCCCGGCTGTGGCACGAGGAGGTACAACTGCACAGCAAAGGCCCCCTGGACCACGACTTCTACCCACGCTACCCAAGTGAGTATCTCCGGTGCAGGAAATGCCCTCCTGCCAGGGTGGCCAGGTCCTGCCAGAGGGGCCCCCGGGAGCAGAGGAGGAACGAGGGCCCAGGAAAACGCCCCTCTTTCCAAAATCGGCGCCCCTTCCACCTGCTCTCGAGACTTCTGGCTTCGCTGGTTTGGTTTCGGGGGGGGGGGAGGAAATGGAAGCTTTGAAAATCCCGCAAGGATTTCCTTCTGATACCCCCCGAGGGCCAAGGGGCACCTGAGACCCTGGGGGAGGCGGCCATAGCCTCCCTATGCGTTTGGAGTGGTGTTTTTGAGTGCAGAACCCGGTGAAGTCCTGGCTTCTTGCTTGCCTTCGATTTCCTCCAGATGCCCTCCAGCGCTTCCCACCTGGGGGTCTCTTGGTGGCTTAACTCAGCCTTAACCCAAGACCGGCTACTGACTCCACCTGGCAAACCACGGTTTAGGGCTGTGTTTATGTACTCTTCAAAAAACAGCTCAGTCTTGATTCGGTCGCATCGTTTCTGGAAAGGGCGTCTTTTTTTAAAGGCCCTGCAGGAAAGAAAGGCTGAGACAGAAAAGCTGCCATAGGATCTCTGGCGTGAACGAGCAACAAGATCCCCAAAGTTAGGCCAACAGAGGCATGATTTGATCAGGTCACGGGCACATTCACAAAATGGCTGCCCGAGAAGCCAATTCCCCCCCTCCCCCCCAAAAAAATCCTTTGCCTTTTTGGGTCCAGCTGGGTCCGTTCTTCCTAGCTGGGAACCCCTCCCCAAAGGATACGACACCCCCTTCCCTTCCCAGTCTGTCCCTGAGGCTCCAGGGGCCCCAGGAGGCCAAAGAGCCCCGTTGGCTGCAGCTTCCGCCGTTCGTCCGTCCGTCCATCCGTCCATCTGGTGGGAGGCTTCGCTTCTCCTGGTGGGCAGCGAGGGCCCAAGAGAAGCTGCCCCTTCCCCAGGCTGTGCCCGCGGATCTCCTCCCCCTGCCCTTCCTTCTTCCCGTTGGCTCTGTTCTTCGGGCTCCAGAGCCCCCGGATGGGCCTCCTTGAGCCCCCTGGCCATTTGGGTCGCCCCTTCTGCAGCCGTCAGCCCTTTTCTTTCTGACCCGCAGCTCCCGCCCTCCTGGCCAGCATCTCCTCGGAATGGTCCTCGGGACCCCCAGCTCTTCCCCCGGAAGGCAGCCGCCCCCCCCGAGATGCAGCCGAGATGCAACGTTGGGGAGTGGGGGAGCCAGGCCGGGTTTCTTAGCCTCCGCAACTTCAAGATCTTCTTCTTCGGCTGCGGAATTCCCCCGCCAGCCGTGTTGCCCGGGGAATTCTGGGAGCTGAAGTTCACCCAAGGTTGAGAAACGCTGCCTAAGCAAAACCTCGTTGCTTTCACGCCATCGATAGTTTGGCCTCAGCCACCGCGGATTCCTGAGGGTATCCGCAACTCTAGAACCCGGCTGCGTGTAAGCCGCCGGCCTCGGGGGGGGGTCAATGGAGGAGGAGCTGGCCATCGCACAGGCCATCCCTCCTAGCGCCCACTCAGCCGGCCGAGAGCGGCCGCAGCACAACCTGACTTGCTGAGCCGTAGACAGGCTCTGTCCCGCAGCTGATGCACACATTCGCTCTCATCAGCCGCATCTGATGAGGTCACTTTTTGAACCCAATTATGCAGCTGCCCCCGTGTCCAACCTTGGCGCCCGGCTGATGAGCTGGAAGCCAGGGAGAAGTTTGACTAGTCAGGCCAGGCTCAGTGGGGCTACCCCGGAGCCTATCTACTCGTGCCCTGCTGAGCGGGCCCCTCGCTCTCCCGCAGGCTTCCAAGATGTCCACGTCATGGTTTTCCTCGGCTTTGGCTTCCTGATGACCTTCCTGAAACGCTACAGCTTCGGCGGGGTGGCTTTCAATTTCCTGATCGCTGCCTTTGCCCTCCAGTGGTCTATCCTCATCCAGGGATTTTTCCACACCTTTCACAATGGCAAAATCCACGTGGGAATAGAAAGGTGAGCGAGCCAGGCCTGGCCTCCTGGAGCCTTAGCTTCAGCAGGGGCAGCAGAAGGGCCGGAAGGTGAAGCCGAGCGGGGGCTGGCACGGCCCTGGGTCACTTGGGTCACTCAACTGCCACTCAGCCTCCAAATATCCCCTTTTCTTGCTGACCTGGAGAAGCCCCCCGCCTCCAGGCAGAGGATCTGCAGGGTGTGGTTAAAAGCAAACGACGAAGCCGGCCGGCCACGAAAGCGCCACCTCCGAGTTGTTCTGACCACCCCTGCAGACCCCGAGGCAAGGAAGGGGTGGCCCTGGCAACCGACATCCAAACCAAGCAAGCAAGAGGCGTGGAGAGGCCGTCAGCCCTCTTGACCTCGGAGCTGCCCCTGACTGGACTCGCGGGAGGGCAGTGAGGGGCTTTGGGGGTGCGGGGAGGGGTGCTGTGCAACCACCCGTCTCTCTGTGCTTCCCCGGGGCTGAGCCTCCCCCGACCCTCCTGCTGGGTGGTCCTGCTCCTCCCCACAGGACCCCAAGCCAGCACAGCCCACCTGGCTGCAGCCTGTCCCATCGGCGCCCTTCATCTCCAGCTCAGCCTGGGCAGCCTTGGGTGCCTTGTGCATAGGAAGGGGGGGGGGCTTCCTCCTGCAGGGTGGCTGGGGGGGGGCTCTCTCCACTTCAGCCCCCGCAACCTCCCCATCAAGGGGGAGGGGGAGTCCAAGCGTTTGAAGGGGCAGGCTCCTTGGTAGTCCTTACTTAAACACAACCGAGGTGAATGTGAAGGGAAATCTCCCGCTAGCTTTTTCTCTCCCCCCCCGCCACTCCCCCCGCCCCCCCACCAGCATGATCAACGCGGACTTCTGTGCCGGCTCCGTCCTCATCTCCTTTGGGGCGCTGCTGGGCAAGACGAGCCCCGTTCAGTTGCTGCTGATGGCCGGGCTGGAAGTCACCCTCTTTGGCATCAACGAGTACATCCTGCTCAGCCTCCTTCAGGTGAATTGCTTGGGGCGGGGTGGGACGGGCGCAGGGCGAAGAGATTGCACCCCAAAGCCGCTCAGAAGCTGCGTTCGCACAGCCATTTAGACCCGGGATAGGTGGTATGTCCGGCACGGGAAACCAAGAAGGACGCATCGAAATTCTAAAAGGGGCTTCTTGACTGCTTTGGGGCAAGATAGACAGAATCTTGCTGGACTAAAGCACCCTCTGCGTAATTCGCTGATAGATGCTGCGAAGAGTTAGGGGGGGGGCATTCTGCGCCCCAGGAACGATTCAAGGCTGATGTGACTCTTTACTCCCCCATCTTGCAACTCAGCGCCAGTTCCCACCCCCCGAATCCAGTTACACAAAGTGTGCAAAGTCCCTGGATGCCAACGCCACAGGTTGCAATCCCATCCTTTTGAGGGGGTGTGAGGGAGGGGCTAACCCATTCCTAATTTCACGATTGGCAGAACTCTGGCTTCCTGTCCTTGACTTCTGACAGTGATGCTCGGCCCCAAAGAAGGTCCCCCTCGCCCCCCACCCACCCACCCACCCATGTTGCCCATTTCTCGGGGGGTCTCTTGGGGCCACACTGAGTCTTCGCTCTGGCCCCCGTTTCCCTGTGCATGGGGCCCCGGAGGGCCTCCCGCCAAGCATCAGGCAGACCCCAGTCTTTACCCACGCCTGACCCCTCGCGATGCCCCTTCATCAGACCTTAGCCTGGAGCCTTTCGTTTGCCCTGGCATTGGGGTCAAGGGGGTTGGTGAGCTCCGGGGGGGCTTTCAGCTTCTGAGGGGTTTCCTTCACTGGGGGGACACGGGCTGCACTGAGAGCCGCTTCCATGAGATGGACAGCTCCACGAACCATTGGAATCAACAACTGAAATTAGCCCAGCTCCAAATGGGGGGTGGTGGGGGATAAAGCAGGCCTGGCAGGGGGGTTTCAAAGGACTTTGAAAAGTTGTTGGGGGCTGAAAACGATATGCTGCCCCCCCCTCCCCCCGTGGAAGCCACCCCTCCTGCAGGCCTCGTTTCCCCCCCCCGTCTGGCGCAGGTGAAGGACGCCGGGGGCTCTATGACCATCCACACTTTCGGGGCCTACTTCGGGCTGGTGGTGTCCCGGCTCCTTTTCCGGCCCCACCTGGACAAGAGCCGGCAGCGGGAAGGCTCCACCTACCACTCGGACCTCTTTGCTATGATTGGTGAGGCTCCCAAAGGGGCGGCGGGAGGGGCGCTGGTGGGCGGGGCAAGGGTGCCAAGGGGCGGGGCTGAGCGACAGGAGTTCCCTAGCTTTGCCTGGAATGATCTCCAGCCTCACTCGGTGGTTGCAGCGGCTACGTATAGAATATGCTCCCTTAAAAAGGTTGCTGGTCTTTAGCGACTGTCCAAGATAGGCCTGAGGGAGGCCGAGGGTCTGCAGGGAAGGGTCTGGGGGTGGACATGGCCTTGGTTCAGGAATGAGGGAGGGTTTCTTTATTGGTTTCTGGTGCATTATGGCTGCCCACGACCATCCCTGATGCCCCACTGGCAGTCTAAGCCTCGTGAAAACCGGCAGGGGGGGGCGGCTTTCATCGCTTTTGAAAGGAGGGAGGAGCACAGAAATCCCCTCCCCCGGTCTGTGTCCCTGGCAGGCACGCTCTTCCTGTGGGTCTTCTGGCCCAGCTTCAACTCAGCAGTGACCGCCCACGGGGATGACCAGCAACGGACGGTCATGAACACCTACTTCTCCTTGGCATCCAGCACCCTCACCACCTTCGCCGTCTCCGCCCTGGTGAACCGAGGAGGCCAGCTGGACATGGTGAGGCAGCCCCAGGCGGCTCTCAGAGGGAGGGTCTGGTTTGTAACCCCCAGATGTTGGGGGGCCCAGGCTGCAAATCACGGAAGCTAGGGATCTGTGTGCCTCACTTTGCCAGATTCTGCAGCGGCTCCTCCAGTTTAAAAGCTGGCGGAGGGAGGGGGATGTTTTCTGTGGGTCACTCAAAGGAGCCCCTGCAGGGATCCTGGGCCAGGCTGGGCTCCTGGGCCCCTCCAGGTGTTGCCTCCAAATCACAATTGAGGCAGGGGGCCCTTAACGACAGGGAGCCTCATCCTTATTTTATTCCACCTTTTTATAAATATAAAAAACTCCAGGCAGTGAACACACCTAGTAATCCTGTCCCCCACTTTCCCCTTTTATTTTATTTTTAAATGCTGTATTTCCATTGCATTCACTGAATGGAATTTTTATTTTAAGTTAAATGTATGCAAAGTGGAATTCACTTCTAGCTCCTGACTCCAATTCCGGGGTCCCTTTCTTCTCTCGGCCCCCTTTCCCCCCCCCCCCCCCCCCCCCCCAGGTTCACATCCAGAATGCCGCCCTGGCTGGCGGTGTGATCGTTGGCACTTCGGCCGAGATGGCGCTGACTCCCTTTGGGGCCCTGATCGCTGGATGCGTGGCCGGCCTGGTGGCCACCCTTGGCTTTAAGTTCCTCACGGTAGGCCAAGCTTTGCCCGCAGCCCCCTGGGGCCCCCTGCGGGAGCCTTTCCTCCCAAAGGAGGCGACTCAGCAGCAGAGCCCCAAAGGCGAGGTGGGCAGGGTGCCAGCCACGCAAGGACCCTCTCCCGTCTCTCTCTTGCCCAGCCCATCCTGGCTGCCAGGCTGAAAATCCAGGATACCTGCGGAATACACAACCTGCATGGGTTGCCCGGCCTGCTCGGTGCCCTCCTTGGCGCCCTGGTGGCCGCTCTGGCAACCCCAGATGCCTACGGAGAGGGGTAAGTTGTGGCACGGGGGACGGGGGGGAGACCGAGGGTCAGGACTGGGAGTTCCTCCCTCTCTGGGCCCCCTCCCCAAAGAAGCTCTGCCAAGGGAGGCAGTTGGGGGTCTCACCGGGGCCGCCTTGCCCCTGCAGGATGGCAGACGTCTTCCCCCTGGTGGCCTCTGGGCAGCGGAGCTCCACCCGGCAGAGCCTCTTCCAGCTGATGGGCCTGCTGGTGTCGCTGGGCGTGGCCATGGTCGGTGGCCTCCTGGTGGGTGAGTGGAGGGCGGGGCAGGCAAGCATTCCTGCCAGTTCTTCCCAGGCTTTTCACCTGTGCAGGGAGGTTCCTCCGCTTGGGTGCAACCTCGGGAGGGAGAGGCGGGGCCCAGCCCTGCAGCCCTGACACTTGTATTTATTTCTGAAGCGTCTCTGTCACCCATCTCACCAACTCTGGGCGGCTTACATCATCATAAAAAGAAGAAAATAAAAACCGCAAACCCCTTCACATTAACAAAAATTGGGTCAAGTAGGAAGCCATGCCCAGATGGGATGGAGGTGAGATCTTCCCCTTCGTCCACTAGCCACGGCTCCCTCCCACGAGGGCCAATCGGCAGAGGCCGAGCAGGTGGGGTGCATCTCACCTTGAGCGACCTGATGTTCCAGATAACAGAAGCCAAAGGGCTCTTCCTCTGACCAGCACCCCCCCCCCGCCAAGGGCCTGGGCTGACAGGGTCTTTAGTGGGCCCTGTTGGCATGAATGGGTGGGCCAATCCCATTTGGAAGTGGGACTCCCAGGAAAGCCCCCCCCCGGCCCCCACTGCGGTGCAGATCCCCCCCACTCCTCCTGGCTGGTCTCTCTTTCTTTTTAGGGGCCATCCTGAAGATGCGATGCCTCGCGATGCCCCCAGACGGTCTGTGCTTCGAGGATCAAATCTATTGGGAGGTATTTGAAGGCTTCCTTGGGGTCAAAGCCGGCTGCCGTTTAACCTGCATCGGATGCCGCAGATTCCCCTGAGACCGGAGGATGATTGATTGATTGATTGAGTTTTATAGCCTGCTTTTCCTCTGGGACCTCAGTGGAAGGAAATCCACCCCCACCCCCCGCAATCCCAGCCCAAGTAGCTTAGCTAGCACCAGCTACCCCAGAATGAAACCCAGGAGCTCGGGTCATACAAGAGGCTAGACTGAGCTAGGAAATGAGGCTGGGAAAATGGTGGTTCTGTTCAGAGTCTGAGCTCCTGGCGGGAACCGGAGGCGACTAAGCTATGCTTAGATCTTTTAATTGGGTGCCAACCCAGCCACATGATTCAGGGCGAAAGGGTGGATGGGCAGAATGGCTCTGGGGGGCGGGGGGGCGGGAGGGGGACCTCTGGTCCTGCTGAGGCTGTGGGCCACGTTAGGTCAAGGTGGGCTGGAAGGGTCAGCTCGACCTCTGGAAGGCCAAAGGCATCCTGGTTCTGGTTTCGGCAACCTTTCCTTTGGGAAGTACCAAAGGCCGGAAGAGGCTTTGAACTGGCAGGCTTGCCTGACAGCACTGTGCGCCAGCATGGAGGACAGAGGAAATGGGGGGGCGGGGGGACCCTTTTCTCAGTCCCCGTCCTCTTGGCCTCGCATAGGTGCCCGAGGAACACCAGGATGGCTTCCAGGTGGTGGAAGCTCTGAGCACGGAGGAGGCAGGCAAGGCCACCCAGGCCTGACAGGCTCCACCGCGGATGCTGACCTCACCCTCACCACCACCAGCCGAGAAAGCCATCCGTCCGTTTGGCCTGGAAGGGAGGAAGGAGGAACCTGTTGCGGGAGTTAGCAGCCCCTAACCCCGACCCTGACCCTGCCAGGAATGGAGCCTGCCTGGAAGGTGCTTTGCAATGACCCAGGTGCACAAGTTCAAAAGCCCTGTTTCCCACGTGACTATTTCAGGGGTCCCAGAGTTGTGCCATCATAAAAAATATCCCAGGGCCCACAGAAGCCAATGCTCTTTTTAAAGTAAGCGTGTTTTCTTTCACAACCACCCTTCCATTTACAGAATCCTATCTGCTTTTCAACCTCAATCCCATAGCGCAAATCAGAAAGACAACCAAATGTCAGGGGTCCTCAAGTTACCACCACAACTGAGCCCAACGTTCATGTTGCTAAGTGAAACATTTGTTAAGTGAGTTTTGCCCCATTTTTCTTGGCACAGTTCTTAAGTGGATCACTGCATTGGTGACATTAATAACCCTGTCGTTCAGTGAACCAGGCTTCCCCGTGTACTTTGCTCGTCTCAGGAGTGGATCACGTGACCTCAGGATCCTGCCACCGTCATAAATAGGAGCCGGTTGCCAAGCGTCTGAATTTGGGTCGGTCTAGTGACCCTGGAGATGCTACAATGGTCATGTGAAAAATGTTCACAAGTCACATTTTTCAGTGCCGTTGTAACTTTGAATGGTCACTAAATGAACTCTTGTAAGTCGAGGATTACCTGGAACTGAGAGTGTGCAACAAGCTGCAACCTAGTAAAAGATGTGACTAACAAGGCAGTCAAGTCCGACCGTAACCAGAGTTTTTCTGAACGTTGCCATCAAGAAGTGGTTCTCCAACTCTGCTGGCCCCATGAAAGCCTCCCACAATGTCACCCGCTCGGTTCTGGTTTGGTTTTTTTTTGCAAGTTTTCACTATTTCACATATTGACAACATAAATAAAGTCAACTCAGGAAAAGTGATGGGATCTGGGAATAAAGTAGCTGTAGGACAAGATAAACGTGTTGCATCTTAAGATATCTTTCTTTCCAAAACTGGCACCTTCCGCTGAAAAATTCTTTTATCGTGTCTCCAATACATTTTGAAAAATTTGGAGCCATTTTAACAATTATAACTGAAGTAATAAAGCAATGAAAAATAGTTACACCAAAAATTTAAGCATGCTATTTGAAGTAAAGTTAATCTTACTTTAATATTGAGATTCTCATTGTTGGATATCAGTAGTATCCATTTTATGCATTTGTTTAATCACACAAACTTCAGCTTCAGAATCAAATTTTATCAATAGTTTATAATTAAATTCTAATAAATATTTAGGCTCTTGTATTAAAATATTCTGAGTTCTATTAAGATTATTCTATTAAGAGTCCACTGGCTAATTCAAATGACAAAATACATTCAAATTAATAATAATAAGCATTTTATTAAGTGCTGCCATGCTGGTGTGTGAATGCTGAAATCAGTCCATTCTTGAGTCATCTTCTCATAAGATTTCGTTCTGATTTTATTGACCCCCAAATCTTGAAATCCATACAAATTACGAAGCATCCATTGATTAATCTTATTCTTTAACGTTGTTGCAGCCAATTGTGACAATCCAGGATTAAATCTGTTCCTATGCTTTCCCCAAATTTTCATTAAACCGTTCATAACAACGTAGTTTTTTTTATCTCTTCCAGTTGTTTCAACCCATAATATAAAAACAGTATTTCAACTGCTGCATCTATTTTTATATATTTGTATATATATTTTTATATATTGTATTTTTTTATATACACTGAGAGCTTATGCACCAAAGACAAATTTTGTTGTGTTCCATTCACACTTGGCCAATAAAGAATTTTATTCTATCTTCTCCTTCCAGAGAAATATTTCTCCTCCTCCTCCTCCCCCTCCCCCCCCATCATTTATTCCAATAGCTATAAACTGAAATAGAAAATCTGGACGGAACCGAACCATCGGAGCCGTTTCCCATTCTTGGCATGGGCGCCTCTCAATGCGAGTCTGACCACTAGGTGGCGTTGCTCTGCTTGTCTTCTCCGCCCAGCCTGTCCGCCTGGCGTTCGGTTAAGGATGCGGGGGGGGCTGGGGGGGGGCTGGTTTGGGTTGCCGATTCGGGTGCGGAGCTTCCAGGGCGGCTGCTAGACTGCGGCTTTGGGCCGCTCCCCTTGGAGGCCGCTCGGCAGCCGCCCGGGCTACACGCTTCACAGCCCAGACCCCCCAAACCATCCCCAGGTGGGGTCTCTCGGATGGAAACCGCCATTCTGGTGGTCGGGGGTCTCTGGCGATGCTCCGTCCTCCGGGTTGTCCCAAAGGGGCTTTTTCGGGAGGCAGCTGGACTTTCTGGTTT